ATATATATATATATATATATATATATATATATATATATATATATATATATATATATATATATATATATATATATATATATATATATATATATATATATATATATATATATTTATATATATATATGTATGTATATGTATATATATATCTCTTTCAAAAGTATCCAGTTGTTATTGTTGCGTCTTTCTCGTTGATCTATCCGTATTGGCTTTTACATATCTTGCAGTCGTGGTGCAAATAGTTTGTGTCTACCCAATCTACAATATGGACTACGTGTGAAGACAATATGAAAGAGTTGTTTTGGTGTGTGATCACTTTTAGTTCGTCAACACATCTCTCTATGCTAAGCGCGCATGTGTGAATCAGTAGTACTCAGGTTTCATACCAAGTCAAAAAGCGATTGTATGTATTCATATGTATGCGAATCCAAAATGTTTACGAAGTAAGTGAATACACTCTTTTTTATTGTACAAGCACTTAACAAATGTTAAGCGCCAGTATCGCATGCATAGCCCGGTTTATTATGCTTATCTATTTTTGCTGTGTGCATCCCTGTTCCTCGCCACTTGTTGTCATTGGTGATGCATTCGTGTCACACCTCATTTTTTTACAGCGTCTATGCTCGATTATATGTTTTGTTCTAGATTGATTTGGTCAGCTTTTCAATATGTTTTGATCATCTCCATACTTCCCTGTCCACAGACTCGTGCCACGGCAGAGGCGTTTAGTCATCAGCAGCAGGAAGAAGCGGGAGCCGAACAACTAAAGGAGAAAGCGCGTGTCTTTGAGTTGTATGGGCCTGCCGCCACTGCTAATATGGTGCTCGATGTTGTACCACAGGTATATCTTGGAGCTCATAAAGAATCTGTGCAATATGGGTGCATGTGATAGTGAGTAATTTATTGTGTTATCAATTTGTCCGTGGTATCAGAGTACATTAAATTAATTTCGTCTGATTTAAAAGATAGCGGGGGAGGGGGGGGGAGTGTTAAGAGCTTCTGTGCGTGCTTGCGTTCGGGTGCTTGTGTTCATATGTGTTTGCACCGGTAGGTGAAGACACGTTTTATCAACATAAATTTGTTCAGATACTGATTGCCTGTGTATGTACGAGTATGCACCCCCGTGTGTATATACATATATGTATTTTGTACACCATACTTTGTCTTAATTTACAACTCAATCGTCGACCATTTGCTAGTGCATTTCCCATTCGCGCACATGACCATGTATCATACACCTGACGATAGTCACTGAACACATACACGCTTCGTACCGCGAGCAGGCGGTTGCGGAAGTGTCCTCTCAACTGGAGCAGGTCGAACGGATCAATATAGTGGGTAGTCATCCAAGTGTAGGGGCAATACCTAGAGAAGTTAGTCGCGTTGTTGCCCAAGTTCCTAAGCTCATAGACCAGCTCACAGATCTCCACGTCACTGAGGTGAGTTGACATTTATTCGATCATGTTGTATAATTCGTTGCACAATGCTAGTGCGGATGCCGATAAGTTTCAGTTGCACATTGTTAAACTTCCAGTGACGCTGCGCCGCAGCCGTGTAGTTTACTAAGTATGTTCTCATTATAAGCGCTATTCCGTTTCTGTTCACAATGCTCCACAGTATATAAGCAACAGTATCAAGGACAACCACAACCTTGCCGATCAAGAAACACGTCAAACACGGGTCCGAACAAATTTCTCGACTTCAACGGGAGACCGGTAGCCTCAGCTGTGGTCTACTGAGGTGTAGACTCTTCCCGTCTCCGAGTAGTACGTAGGATCGTGAGCCTTCATTACAGCAAACACAAATTACACAATAGATTTATCAGAGCGTAAACCAAAACACGCTCTAGCAAATATCAGAAGAGCCGAATGAGGGCCACACAGACACCGCCCATTCGTATAAGGACAGCAATTTAGGCCAAAAAAAAAAATGTCAAATGGGAATACCAAATAAGGTCGCTTGCAACACTTGCATCCAGCACGGTAAAATTGCGCAACTGCAATGGAAGAATTCAAACTGAGTCAAGCAACGACTGGGCGAGAGCTTAGAACATTAGGATCAGGAAAATGTCAGTTTCTTCAGAGTCTGACAATCTCATACAGTCCGCAATACGAAGGCGAGATAATCTCACACACTCCACAATTTATGGGTGAGATTACTACCAATCAAAAAGAGTGAATCAATACACAAAATACGATGTATACAGCCTCATAGACCATACATGGGCCCACTTAGTCTCAATCCACCTACTCGTTGGATAACACAGTCATCGAGCCTGAACCAAAAAATATAGTCATCAGTACAAACGCCAGATAGAGTCCCACGAATACAGTCGGCTCCCAGAGGTGTGAAAGAAGCTTATCACTACAGCTGAAGACAAAAAATATTCTGCACGATGATTATGCTAAACAAGGCGTGTGTGAGTATTTCTCGGCCCGTTTCGGCCGTAGGAATCATCAATTCCAAGTATGTTACGTACCTTCGCGATACTTTACTGCGATAAAATATATCATAACGCCATACAGCGATCGATTCGAGAAACCCGGTGTTGTTTTTTCGTAATACATTTTTTATTGGTCTCGAGAAATTAGAATGTCATTGATTTAAATTGATATGTAGACCAACTGCACGCGAATCCACCCCTGAGCAAAATGCAACATATAAATATGTTGTTGCGTGGAACATTGTGCTAAGACTAAGATTCATTTGATCCTCACGTATATCATTTCCGAATAATTAAACTTTTGCACATTATAAACATCTTGTAGGTACGTCCTATCTCACAGATTGATACCGTAATATTTTTCCACGCATTGCCGGACGAACATCTGACCTCTCGTATCCAATATATCGCTTCAAAGGAAGATGAACGAGTGTGAACTTCTACACCTAAATATTTAATAATTGCTAAGAACAATCGCACAGATATGACAATGTTGAGCAAACAAATCTACAAATGGGGTGCAAAAGTACAACAAATGCATATTTATTTTAATAGCTAGATGCTTGTTCGTATATGACTGAATAGTGTTTTAAACAACAAGAGGGTGAAAGTATATGCACGTGCACATGCAAAATAGGTTGAGTGCACCGTCATATTTGTGGGGGAGTTTATGCATGTTTTAATTCCTTGCGTGCTATCGTTTTTAAGAATATTACGAAGCCAGACAAACTGCTGCTTTATAAGCATGTAATTTATTTTTGAATAATTAATTTCATACTCTATGACTATCCCATATATTTTTTAAAGCTACTGCATACGTTTATAAAAGCCTGTGAAATAAATTATGTAAAGTTAGATATGAGTTTTGATTTCACAACTCTCGGCTGGCATCTGAGGAAAATTGGGACATTGAAAGGTAGATATCATCTTATACAGATTGATCATGAGTCTCTAGAACCACTCTGCTCTTCATCGGTATCGCCAAATATGATTATTGTAAGGACTTATCGTACATGGCTGATAATAAGAATCATTTCGCTACCTTTGATGCTAAGTACCTGGAGAAATTTCTGAACCGGGAATTTGAGCTATGGAGGATTTAGGGCGCTGGTGCTGAATATGTAAAACTGGTATTATTTGTACTTTTTATAACCACACAATACCTTTATTTCTAGTTGTGGCATATTAGTCAACGTTACGGGTGTTACTTCGTCGTGACGTTTGCAACGGAGCATAGAAACCCGTCAGAAATCAATTATCTCCCGCGCAGTAGAACGAGCCCCATTTAGAGCACAGATTTATAGAAACCAAAAGAGGCGATATTCGAAAATTCGAAGCTCAAAACATTCGTTTTAGCCACCACTGCAATCATGTCCTTTAAATAGGGCCCAGTAAGCACTGTGCGTTGTTCCCGGGAAAGGCCACGCATTCAACATCGGCATTTGCTGATCTAAGTGAACGCGGCAGCAAAATAGAATACTATGACACTTACTATCATTAGTAAATCGCCACTGCCCTGTGTAAAATGCACAGAGAGAGAACAAAACCTACTCAAAGACGTTTTCATCATGAGAGAACCGACACCAGAAAGTTCACAGCCGACACGCACAGATATATTGTAGTGATGCGCGTAGTGACTCGCTTTGATAGCTTTGGGTGTATACATATACAGATATACAAACTTTAATCCGCATGCATGTGAATTAATTTTGGCCCAGATGAAAAAGTGTGTGATCGTTTATTCTAGATTTGAGTAGTCTCGACACCATGCCAGTCATTTATATTCTAGGCCGCTCACATGCAGATGCGTGTACCCTTGCCAGTCATCGTTCCAGACAAGACCGCGTGGGGCCTCCACTGTTTCCTTCATACTGGAGCGAAGCCGCATATCTATACAAGAATGAATGAAGAGAATGGTTTTGCTCCACCTTGTGAAAAACACAGACCATACAACTCCTAGTAATATGAGGTCACACATGAACACTAACCAACAAGAAAATACCAAGAGGGGACATGTAATGAGCATAGAAAGCGTTTACCCAGTGCAAGGGACAACGTATCGTCACAGGGAGTCTCAACTTCAAGGTCGCAGCCGGAGCTTCAAATGGGAGCTACCAGTCAACAGAAGAGTATAAGCTATACTCAAGTCTCTATAGATGCCTCTTATGGTATCTTCACACGCCAATGTCTGCTAGAGTTGATGAGAATCAGCATTTAACTGAGACTCAACAACGATGCGGAGTCGAATGGCAAGGTCTGTAGATTTATTGCAGAATAATTACGCAAGTACTGAAGCAGAAAAGTATTAAGCAATAAAGCAAATGCTGACACAAAAGAGAATATAGAACAACCAAGCGTAAATCATATGTGAATGCTTTGCGTAATTTAAATGTATGAGGAATTCCCAAGTGTTAGGGTAAGTACGGGAACCAACCCACACGACATGTATATCAAAGGCGGATATGCTGCTGCGATCCATTTGAATATATATGGGTTCGGGTTTAAATAGTTTGGTCAGGTTTTATTTGATACGTTATAGCAAGACATTCTTTGAATGATCGATAATAGGGGCATTGAAAGGTAGATATCATCTTATACAGATTGATCATGAATCTCTAGAACCAACCACTCTGCTCTTCATCGGTATCGTCAGATATGATAGTTGTAAGGACTTATCCTACATGGCTGACAATAAGAATTGTTTCGATAGCTTTGACGCCAAGTACTATCTCGAGCAACTGGATAAATTTTTACACCGAGAATTTGGAAAGTGCGAAACCAATCGTAAGCTGTATTCTATTTTTTCCGGGGGAAGGGGAGGGAGGGAGGGAGGGGGTTAAGTGTTCGAACTCAGTTGTACCCAAATCACTCGCCTGCTCCAAGCTGAGGTCGGCTTTGTTTCGCCGTTATCCCTGGTTCTGGTGTCGAGGTGCCTTATTCTTTCCAAAGCTGATATTATTTTTGCATATCACCTTTGTTATTTACATTACTAGACCTTTTTCTTTATTTTTTCGCAAATAAAATGACTATTCACTGCTACTAGGTTCCATATTGTCCTCAATTTAGAAGTGCATTCAAAACTTGCTTGTATCACAGCAACAAGTAGTAATTTCGAAATGCACATGGCGTTCACTCAATAATCTCAAGAATGCAGTCCTGGACATATGTATATACAACTACATATCTTGGGCGTTAAAAATAGTATTATCCACACACAGCCACGTCATTCGTAGTGTATATGTTTTTTCTCATTTAGTCATCGATATACGTTCAGCCTTGGTCTGCTTTCCATCGTACTGGAAGTACAGAAATATGGATTTCCTTAGTAATCTTGCAGTGCTTTAATATATGTTTTCTGTTTCAGTAATAAATTATATTGCGACCAAGTGTGTGAACCTGTTGGTTTACATCATTTCACGTGATTGTAGTTTTTCACGTGCGTGGTTTATGATTTTAAAGACGCCGCACATGATTTGGGCCCTTACACACGTTAAAAATATATTTCGCCTCCTTGCACGCACTTTAAATGAGAGGGGGCAACAAATGCTCGTATTATTTGAACATAAATTTACGTATATCCAGCTTCGGGGCATGCACGAAAAATAACGATACTTGCATATTTAAGTATATTGGGTACTTACAACGTAAAGTGCTTCCAAATAAAATTATCTCTCGTGTTGTTTGTCACTTATAGTGATATCAAGTACCTTAACGAGTTTGAAATGAAATCTTTTGCACTTGATGTAAGAATTTCGACTTAATTATATTCTCAACAAGCTTCGTGTTTTTTGAATCGCGCATACGTATTACTACAATCCCACTCGTATTCATGCTGGCTAAATTTGTCGATATAAATTCGCCGCTATTCCCAAACAGTCCACCTCATAGCTTTTCAATTATTTATAGCAGTAGTTAGGCCACATGAGAATCCAGTTACTAATTTCTTAGACGGATGCACGGGGATACGAGGTGAAGATAAGCTGATATGCCGAAAAGATCTTTGGAATACGATGAGCTCAAATTCATGTTGTTTATAAACTTAGAAAATCCTGCTTTCAGGGATAGTCATTTTCACTCATTGCGATCTTCTTGGACATTCCAGCTTATATGTAGAGTCGATGATGCAACAAACTTGAAATTAGTGATATTAAACGTGTCGACGACTAGAAGCAAAAATGTTGCTTAAGATCCATATTTATGTATTCTTGCTCTGCTCTAGCGGTCATCAGAATGATCGATTGCTATTGAAAACGCTCCGCCTACGCCGATGTAGAATTAAGGATGTTCACTAGGAATGAAGCGACTGAGGGGGGGGGGTGATCAGTTATAGACCATAAAAGGATCAAGAAAATTATTAGATCACCTCCCAATATACCACAA